TATTTTAATGATTATTTAAAATAAACAAAACTTCACAAGCCCAACCCAATTGTAAGTCAAAAACCGTGCAAATTTAAAGGGGCCCTGCAAGGGCTTTTTTACTGTTTTTTTATTTGCACCGAACCTGAGCGCACTAAACATAGTAACTTAGCGAAACTTTTCTTTCTCGAAATTCGCTTTATTTGAAGAGTTATAGGCAAATTAAAATTACAAAAACAAGCAAAAAATAACCTCCCTCATGACGTCCATGGTTGCTTTAGTGGCCGTGAACTAGAGGAGGGGTAGTGAGCTCATCAAACGCCCACGACTGCCGCACTCCGTGTCGAAGGCGCCAGAGGGCGCCATTAAAGCATGTTCTGGATAGGCTGTATGCAGCGGGCAGCCAGAGCGGCTCTTATTGCATTTGCTGCGCGATTAAACACTAATTCAGAATGATACTTTATTGGCCACAAGCGACAGCAAACACGGGGTAAAGATCAGTTCAGAATGTGAGCCACTTCGCGCTGCCATACCGCGAAACGGCCAAACCGCAAGACAAAGCTTCTCGCCGAAGGCCTTTGGAACGCTCGGAGCCGGTCGGATCCCCCTGTCCATACGACCGCAGCGCCGCCGCGTACATCCGGGACCTTTCCGTGTCGGCGCCTGATCCCACTACTCCTTTCTAGTATGCGGCGCTTTTTCCACCGCTTGGTGGCGGTTATGTCGACGGGTCATTTCTTGTTTCCGTACTTCATAAACTGCATTTGTTTCTTTTCTGATCTAAAATACTGAAGAAAAACGACTTTAATCAATAATTGAAACGGTTCGCGCCACTTATATTTTGTATTTCGATTAAAAAGAAGCTTTTAACGGCTCTCACCAGTAGTAAGCCCATGACCAATGACGTCACATATCGCGCGCTTTCAGTACCGCGGTTCGCCCACATCGGAGGAGGAGGTTTCAGCGTCGTACGTTTAAAATATGACGCACTGATATTTAGTTACTCTCTCCGTGCCCGCTGGCTTGCCCGAACCCCAAGAGACGTGAAGCCGCAAAAAAGGTAGACACTTAAATATGATTGCAGGGCCCCTTTAAGAAAAAAATATTTAGGTTTTTCACTAAAAAGATGATTTTTCATCAATTATTGAGTGATGCCAAATTTCACGGTGTTTTTAAAAGTTCAAACCGCGCTCATGTCATAAAAAAAAAAGATTTTTCGCAAAAAATATTTTAGGGCAGGGCTACGGACATTGCGGCTAAATGTCATGAATTTTTTTTAGAAATCGGAAGGGCTCGGGCGCAACGTCTGGGACGTTTGACATGGAATGACCCCGATACATTTCACAGTATATAAACACATAACGCCAAGTTACGTTTACGTTTATGAAAAAAAGTTCTCAGTCTATTATGAAGAAATTTTAGCTCATGCTTATTTTGACTTTAACAAATTAGCATTTATGAACCTCCTTGTCTTCAATAGCGCTGTCAGCATGGCCGACAATGCCCATCGACATCTTAGAAAGACAGAGCTTTGATTATTATGTTAACGGTTATTATATAATTTCTTAGTTGATGTTCTTATTGTGCAATGAGTCACTCTGATTGGCATTTGAACGATAATTATATTCCCGTAAATTACTCCACCCTGCGCTTCTTCGGCCATCAGTGTCTATGAAGTACTCTCCTTTTGGAAGCCACATTGGCCATTCTGCACGGGGCAAATTCTTGAATGAGACAGGACATTGTAAGGTGTTCATGTTTAAAGAGAAAATGTTTCCCGTTCGCGTTTCGCTTAGGAAATATTTATTTTACTCACCCAGGTGAACAAGTTTTATTTTTTTTTTTACGTAGCCCATATACTCTATACCTATGGTTGTGCATTTTCGAATTTTATTGTTTTGAAATATGGTGTGCGCTTTTTTCGTTTTAACATTAAATGGAATGAGAGCAATTCCGTTGTTTTCTTTGTGTAGAAAAACAGGAAAGACGTTTACGATTCTCTGTAATGCCGAATTAGGGCGAAGTTCTTGAGGAGGAGGCGGGGAGGGTATGGAGGTGAGGGTATGCCCCTCCTCCCCCTCCCCTCGCCCTCTCCTGCTACTTCCCATTCAGCAGGAAATTTTACCCAAATTTCCCGCTAGATGCAGCAAAAATTTTCCCGCTAAATTTAGCGGGGAAATTTCCCCTCAATCTTCCCGCTAAATCTAGCGGAAGATTTAGCGAAAATGATCCCGCGAAATTTAGCGGGGAAACTGAATTCGTGTTTAAGTCATGTGCACGATGTCAATATCTCCGCTAAAATTAGAGTGAACATTTCTCCCGATAAATTTCGCGGGTTCGGTTTCCCCGCTAAATTTAGCAAGTTAAGTTTCGCCGCTAAATTTAGTGGAAAAACTTCGCCGCCACTCTTAGCCAAAAAAACTTTCCCGCTAAACGTAGCGGAAAAAATTACCCGCTAAATTTAGCTGAACATTTTTTTCCGCTAAATGTAGCGGGAAAATTTCCCCGCTAGCTTTAGAGGGGAAACGTCCTATATTGCTAACGCTCGGTTACGCCGACGTCGACGATGACGGCCACACCCAGGCCGCTGAACCCGGACGCGGGCGTTTAAGCGCTGCGCTCTAATGCCTACGCACACACACTTTTGGCGATTTCATGTTGATATAAGCGGGGTATATTTATGAAAACCAAAAACTAAATGGCATTAGTAATAGGGAACATGAATACGTAAAATATCCGGCAAACTGATTGGGCTTCCAAATTACACGCAAAATACAAGAAATAGCGTATTCGCATGTCAGTGTTTTCTATGCAACGCACAAAACGAGTATTAAAATAGACAGGAACAAGTACAAACGAAGCAGATATGGACGGGCAACACCCAAACTTACACATAACAAGTTTTAATGAATTGTTCAGGTCATCTCAATAGTAGTTTTTATCTCTGATTTGCAATAACCAGACTTGTATTTTCACAAGCTTTATTAATTAACGTGCAGCGCTCTATTTTGTATAGTAGCTAGGCTAAGTTTAGAAAATAACCTGCCAATATTAGTATTCAAACAAGTAATTTGATCAGGTGAAACTCTCCTCATAATTTAAATATTTGTGGATATTATCCGGCACTGAAACAACACCTACACCATATTCAGAGAATTGCGAACTTTAGACACAACATCCAGTCCCATAGAACAAAATTCCTCTCAAAAGACAAGCCAGATCACAATTCCTAAAAATGGTAATGATCATTGAAACCAACCTTAATACATTAATTGACGATTCGAAAAACAAAATGACAGATAAAAACAATTTTTTTTCGCGGGTCAAAAAAAAACAACAACAGAAAAACAGAAGAAAAAAAAAACAACGTTTTCCGCTTACCTTCGAATAACTACCAGTTGCGACAAGCTGCTTTAAAGTGCAGACCTTTTATCGGTTAAAACCAAATGTTAATTCATGCAGAAATAATCTTTAGGCCTTTTTTGGCTTAAACCAAGAAACTGAACCTTACCAAAATCACCTCGATAGGGACTAGAAGAAACAATAATGATCTATCCACGGACCGCCGTATTCTTAAGAGCGCTGAGTCCTACTTCAGACTGAATTTTAAGTTCTGCAAAAACCTTCGAACTATTTTTTCACGGTAAGTCAGTTTCTGTCTTCCTTTCATTTTTTTTTTTTTTTGGCTCGAGGGTGTTTTTGAATATATTTTTTTGACATTGCGGTTGGAACGTCACGAGCAGAACGTCATAAACAAAGCGTTTACGTACGGGAAGCACGTGAGAGCGACGGGACCTGCCTTATAATGACAACGAGATTCACCATGTGAGTTTTGCGAAGTTGTATTTCGTTCACAGGAGTTTGAAGGGAAAACAAATTTATCGTTCACTTTGACTGGATTGCCGACATACTTTTTTTTTCTGCAAAAAGTATAACATTGTATGCAATTATGTTCCAACCCTTACGATTCCCAAATACGGCAATGGACATTGTTATCGCGAAGAAGCGATCGTTGAATCTCGTTGCTTTCTATTTTTTCTGCCTGTAAATCTGGTGTGCATAACTAAAAATATTAGTGTGACGCGTTTCACATTTTGGCTGCGGACTGCGGTAGCAGTGGCGACGGCCGTTGTATTCTTCAGGAACGGCGAGGGACTCGCGACACATAAGGTAGATGCATTTCGATGCCTTCTCGATGCATTCTCAATTAATAAGTCTGTATGTCCACTCGTGATTGAACTTCCAACCCTCCTGGTCGATTTTCCTCTTCTTTGCAAGGGCACACATACTTCACCAGCAACAAGCGTTTTTCAACGAACGCTGGAACCCATCTGATATTTTTCTCCTCTGCATCGTAATGACATTGTTCATGTGGATGGGCGGAGGGACGATGGATGTTAATGGCTACACTCTTTGTAGCGGGCGGTAGCTTGGGCCACCTAATCTAAGTCTAAAAAGACGAACGTGATTCATCCCGCTTTTCTGAGCCGATTTTATTTCCCAACTATCCCAACACAAAGGCAGAGGGTTGGTAGCGTCTGTGGTGAAAGAGGGAGGGGGATCTGTGAAAAGAGAACAAGAAGTTTTTGTGTTCTGTTTACAGACATGTTGAGACAGCACCGCACCATTGACAGGGACGGCTGCACACGCTGTTTCATTGTTTTCAGCGGGATTAGTGGAGAGGAAAAATTTGAACTTAAAAATCCTAGTTCCTTCGCCGAAGAGTGAGAAAAGCAGGTCAGAGGTTTTCACTGCTCCTTGCCAAGGGGAGCGGGCGGTCGGTGGATTGAATGGCATACGAAGCAACTTTCTGCACCCAGAAAGTTCCATACAGAAACCAGAAATTCAGAAGAGTGCTCATATCTTGATGGCGCTAACATTCTCGGGCAGTGTAAATTTTGAAAGCGCTGGGGAAGTTTGAAAGGATAATATGCGAATTTTATCGGATGAGCAAATCAGCTTCTCCCGAATTCAAAACCGAGGGCCTACGCACAGGGATGCCTCCAGTACCAGCTACTTACGGGTGGTGTCGAAGCCGTCGAGGTATTCCGGACATGGCGCACGTGCGGTCGTGTTGGCTGGTGCACTCTCCCAGCATAGGATGCCGTCCCAGACCCGAGGACAGAAGTCACCGCCTGAGGAACCAAGTACAATACAGTGCTTGTCACGGTGGACTCTGTCACAAAAATTGAGCTAATAAAAAATTGGGGCAGCACCAACTGCACACCCTGCCTCTACCTTTTCAAACACAACGCGAGTGTCAAATATTTCAGAAAAAAGGGCGTTAAAAAACAAAAAAATTAACATCACAGTTTAGAATCCTCTAATCTTCAGATAGGTTAGTAAATTTTTGGATTTGCTTTATTATTTTTTTTTATTAAAACTTCCCAGATATATTAGCCTCCATTGAGTCATAACGTTGGTGTCAGGGTACAAGATCATAATTTGGTTTTCAGACAAATATTTTATTTAATTTACCTCGGGGTTTCTCATTTTTCCTTAGGTATTTTATTTGTAACATATTTTATAAAGGACATCTTTTATCAAAATATTTTTCTTAAAACTCAAAATATACATTATCACTTTTTAAGTGAACGGATGCAATGTTTCAAAACTGTCAAATAAATCCAATTATTTGTGTAGTTAAATATTCTGTATCATTATGCCATTCACAACTCTTCATGGTGGCAATATATCACATGAGTTCTCGAGAAAAAGGGGGCGTGCCGCGGTGTTTGTTTTGGTTTCCGGTTTTTTGTTTTGTTTTGTTTGATGCTTGACGTTAAATTTGCACCATAATGAGACCATGACAAAATAGATTTAAGGGCCCGGCCAAACTGATTTTTGCAACTTCGCATTATCATTCTGAATGCCTTTTTTGATGGACTTGTTTCATTTTAAAAGTAATGTAATCCTCTTTCCTGTAATATAATTTACGTTGTGTCAAAGGAAATAGAACCTTGCTCCGCCAGTTTCCATTTCTTGAATGGGATCATCAAAGGAAACAAAATTTGATTGTGATTTTTCGTTAAGAAGAAATGAAAGAAGATGTGGAGAGGGCTTTTCATAAGTTTGATATACTTCGTGCTGCACACCTCCCCTCCTCCAATATTGCCAAAAAGTGATATATTTTAAGCCGAGTATCTTTTTGGTAATATAAACTAGACTCTTAAATTTGTTACAGATATAGTTGTTGGCCCTTTTTTATATCCACAAAAATTTCAAAACTACATGTGTTTTAATGCTTCAAGTGATGGCGTTTCCTATTTTGCTGTGCGGATAATTGAACTACAATAACATTTATGTTCAAAGCTTGAAACTAAGGAGGTATTTTAAGAAGCGGACGAGGGCTTTTCTTCATTTTCGAATAAATACTACTTAGCATCCTATCGGACTTCACTGTTTTTGGCGCATCTGCATTACGAACTTATTATAGAATTATTGGCATCTGATGAAGCGGGTCTTAATAAATAAACATACGTTACTAGCTACCTTTCATCGTGATTGGCTCTCTGTTGCCTCATTTAGCTATAAATTTAAAAATAATAATAAAAAACGCATTTAAAGTTTTGTAGAGACACGTGGGGGAGGGAGGCCGAAGAGTCGATGGTCCCTAAAGTTTAGGAAATCGTCGAGCCCCTATTGAAAATCGCTCTGATGGGACTTCAGGATTTTTTTAAAGGGTGTGAAGGGGACTTCAGGAATTTCTGAGATGTTTGATGGGGGCACCGATATTTCCTGGTGGGTTCACTGGCCCCGTCAGAGGCTCTCCTGAAATGTCTAAAGTCCCCTTTACGATGCCTTGAAATGTCTGAAAGCCTGTCAAGAACTTTTCTAATGGGGTCGGGAAAACCTTCAGGCCTCTTGATATGTCTGTGTGGGCAACGGCCCAGGTGGAAAAAACACATTTCGCAGAATTAATGAACATAGCTGCTTATTGTACGCTACGGGGGAAAAATAAGTATTTGGAGAATGCCGATCGTGTGTGAGTACGGTCAGATTTTTATTACTGCTCTTCTATCAAATACGAGTGGGCTCCTGGACCCGTCTGTCACTGCCCGGGTGTTCGGTCGCGAAAGAGGCTACTGAGGGCGACCGCCCATGTGGAGAATTGACGAGCCGCGGGCCGAGTGGTGTTGGCCGAGCGGCGCCCCCCAGGCCAGGCGTGTGGATTCAAAATAAAATACGTTTGAAAGAAAGAGGCGAACGCAATCCTGTCCGCTCGAGGCGAAATACGTGCAACCATGTATAAAAAAAAAACAAAAAAAAAAAAGAAAAAAAAAAAGGAAAAAAAAAACAAGCCGAGAGCAGTGCGCGCTTTCCAGGAACAGGGACGCACGCGGGCACGACTCGTTCTGGGAACCGGTCCCCCCACGGGGGACTGTCCCCAAAAAGCAATCGCCTCTCTCCGCCCGGCGATGGGGAGAGGGTGCAGGGTTGCCAGGCCAGCGGTCGGGGGGAGGAGGGTGGTGTGTGCAAGCGGGGGAGGCCATAGCCATTTTCTCTCTGCTCGTGTGCGGTTCCGGTTATCCCACGAGCCTGGATGTTTGGAGCGGACCAATTTCCTCCAGGAAGGTGAGCATGCATGGTTTTGAGGGCTCGCCCCTTGGTCTGTTTTGATCCGTGCAGTTTCTTTCTTGGTACCGCAGGTGAACCATAGTTCGGCGCAGGCCGCCTTCAGCACCGCTCGAGCGCCTTTGTGTTCAGCGCATTCAAGGAGATGGTGGCCGGTGTCGGCTTACTCGCAGCAAAGCCTGGCAGTCGGGGTCAGCGTCCCACCGCATGTTGTGCCTGCGCACCGGGATTATGGCACTGTGGGTGTTGAGACAGTGGATGACGGCCGCTGTCCGGACTTGTTCCTTGCGCCTCTTCGTCCGTCCGACTTCAGACCAGCGAGCGAAATATACGCCGAAGACTCCGGCGCGATGTCATCATGGACGAAACCGTGACTGTGCTCGGGATTTCTCAACGGCGGCGGGTGCTGCTTACGAGTTTGTGGTTTTCGCTAAACGTGCTTACTGAGACTGTGTATGTGTCCGTGAGGTGCACCTGCTCGGTTTTATTAGCTGAACTACCGTACATCAGGAATATACCCAGCGGCATTGTGAGTACTTTGAAAGGTATTTTTCTTTGTGATAAGGATGTTAGTTGTCCCTGTTTGATGTGATCCCTTTCGTCTACAGCTCCTTGCGCCGGGTTTGAACAAGCGTTGCTTTTTGAGTTATAATCTGCATGTAAAACTAAATGTCGGCAATAAATTTTCAGTGTTTTGACCTGCATTTTGGTCTATGGTTCACAGTCATTTGGGCGTCTAAAGGGTTGATGGGCTAAAGGGCCTGACGGGTTAAAGGGCTGTGGGGCTAAAGGGTTTTTCTATGGGGTATCCTTGAAGGGTTTTTCTGTGGGGTATTTTTGAAGGGTTTTGAAGGCCTGTGAGGTCCCATAATCCTTCAAGGCTGACGGGCCCTTTAGAAATATTTTCAATAGGGGCGTAGCGCGGACACCCCTATCATCATAATTGGCGATGTTTTTTAGCTCTACAAGCCTAAGTGCTTGCAGGGTTTATTGATAAACTAGTGCCTCAGGTAATGCATCTGCTTTATAAATTTAATGTATTAGTGTTATTATTTATTGATATTAGCCACCATAGTCACTGAAAAGTGACACACGAAAATATATGAGTCTATTAAAACAATATAAAGGTGTCAACCTGCTTTCATCACGATCACCGTCACCAACAGATTGCCAAAGCAGCGTGTACGGTGATAGCACGAAAGGCACTCAGGGTTAGTGTCGCGTCGTCGGCATCTCTTCTTGAGAGTAGCAGTGTACGTCAAATTTGCCTAAAACCAACTCAGTTTACTCGGCGAATCCGGTTTCGTAATTTAGGCTTATTATGGTAGTCAAGAATGTGAGGTCTGGAGAATGCTTGCGTGTCTCAGTGTCCGAGAACGGTCCCAGGCTTTATGCCTCATGTGTCACTATTACCATGGTGCCATCTTTGTGCTGGCAGCACCGCCGCAACGGCAAACACCAGGTAATTCTTCCGAAACTGGGTTCTAAAAAAAATCGAGCAGAAAACATTTAAAAAATAATAACGTCTCATGATCCCATTTACGGTTGAACAATACCTCTGCAGACGGAAGAGAATGCCAATTCCGCAAATTTCAGCATTAATTTTATTTATTCTATTCTTGGAATGCAAAGTGGCGCTGCTTCCAACATACCAATTATGCTGCGCTTCCTGTTGTTCTCATTTTCTTAAATCGACCATTTAAGTTCTATTCCACTCAGTTTTCGACAGTGTGCAGGCGAAGATGAACCTTGCACAGTGAACCGTTTTGTTCGCAGGAGAGCTCGTGCATATGACACTTTCCAAAGCCTCACGCCAGAACGCTTTTACACCCAGTAGAAGCTAAAATGCTGCTTTATAGAGTTGTACACTCGTGTGCTTATCCTTTCAGCACCCTTATTTGGACCTAATACAAACTTCAATGTAAAATAAGGTGATGTTGTACTGAATTCACTTTATTTATGGAGGTTCTAAAAGGATGATATGGTGATGTGGGGCAACATTTTCAGTTTAGCAACAGTATTCCTTGAACGTAGACATTCGTTGAACGTAGATATACTACGCATTAGACAAAATATTGAGGACACCAAAGCAATTAGCGTGTATTCTTCGTAATCATGAAAGTGGTTCAGCTGCAAATGAATATTTTGAACTGTCAAGTACCAGAGGCGGTGGAGAAATGATCAGGGCTATGATGCCCTTATGCGTGATTAATTACTGCTCAATTACTTTTTCTGCATGTGTAACAAGTGCATGCGGTTATTGTTCTTTGTAAACTTGCTGCTCCTAAATAAATACAGGGTGTCACAAAAGAAAATTTACACGGTCTTTCTTACCGCAAAAATAAACTAGGCATCCCCGAACGTTCATTCTCCGCCCAAAGGTAGAGCTAGAGGTCACAACCAGTTGCCTAAGTTTCAGCCCGATCCGATTACTTAATCAAAAGTTATAAGTGATTTTCTGAAAATTTCATTGGGAAAATGGCGCCCATTTTTGGCCCGTTTTCGGTTTCTGGTGCCATAGAGCACTATCTGTTTGAAAACTCCGTCGGCCGCCTCTTTCCCTTTGAAAGTTTCAGAAAATCACGTATAACTTTTGATAAAGGTATCGGATCGGGCTGAAACTTTCGCGTCTGGTTGTGACCTCTAGCGCTACCTTTGGGCTGGAGAATGAGCGTTTGGCGATGCCTAGTTCATTTTTGCGGTAAAAAAAGACCGTGTAAATTTTCTTTTGTTACACCCTGCATATCTTGGATGATGCTAAGTACGTATGTACCCTATTTGTAGGCTGTTCGAAGTATGCGAAGTATATTGCATAATGCACTCAGGTTGCTTACCTTGGAACGCTCACGCCCACGCTTTTGTGAGCACTCAAGATTATGCAGCATTCTTTACATGTTACCTATTATAATCGTCTGGTGGAAAGGTTTTGCTTGGGAAGCTTAGTCA